GATACCCCAATCAGATTTACATCAAATAGTAGCGCATCCACTATTCAATACTTAGATTTGGAAATATCCGTCAAAGAACACGGCATTTCATATTGTCTGGATAAGAAAGACACAAAGACACAGTGGATTGTTGCACAATAAAAGTGCACACCCAAGAATGCTGAAAGAATCACTGCCCAAAGCGAGAGAATTGCACGTAATAATTCGGATAAACACAAGATTGAGGAACAGATAGAGGAGATGACACAAAAATTCCTTGAAAGAGGCTATAGACGTCAGGAGTTGCTTAAGGCACAAGAAGCAGCAAAAAATGCCAATGCCAATATGCAAGTTAGGAAGCCACCAGCAATGGTATTCCCAATGGCCTACAATGATGCTTCACCTAAAATAGCCAAAATCATCACATAAAATTGGAAGATGCTGGCAAGCGACGATACCTTGCCCAAAGTGTTCAAAGAAAGTCCATTGATTTGTTTCAAAAGGAATAAAACATTAACCCCTTAACGGCCGAGGACGGTTCAGGACCGTCATCGGCATTTTTGCGTTGCCGACCGATGACGGTCCTGAACCGTCCTAACGGTCTGAGTTACTTACCTGATCGCCGTCGTTCCCCCGGCGGCGATCAGCGTTGCTCCCGGTGTGGGGAGACTGCCTGCAGCCCAGACAGTCTCCCCACACTGAATTAGGACCCCTGTGGCCATGTGATCGCTTAACACAGCGATCACATGGTCACAATAGGTGTCCATATGTCTGCCTGCAGGGGGACTGTCTGTGCTGACAGGCAGTCTCCCTGCTAGTGTAAAATCCAAAAAAAAAATAGTTAGTGTTAATAAAAAATAAAAATAAAAAAATTATATATGTGTATATATGATATATAGACATATATTATATCTATATAATATATGTCTATATATCATATATATATATAATGCCATATTAAGTGTATTTTTATATTAATATGTACTTATATTAATATAAAAATACACTTATAATTAAATTACACACGTATATATATAATAAATATATATATATATATATTATAAAATATAAATAATAAGTAATGTAAATTAAATAAAAATGTTTTTAAATAATAAAAATTTAAAAAAAAATATATATCTATATGAAATTTTATTCTAACTGTATTTTAAAATTAATATATATATATATATATTTATATCAAAATACACTTAGAATGAATTTGTATATATATCTATGTATATATAAATAAATAAAAATAATACAAAATATAAATATGTCCATATACAAAATTACATAAATAATTATATAAATATACACGTAGACTTCAAATATATAAATATGCATATATATTTAAATTCTACGTGCGTATTTATGTAATATTTTTACATAATTCAGTAATTTTATTGATTGCAATTTGAGGGACCTGCCTGCCAACCCAGGCCGAAATTCCAGAGAATTTAATTTGCTAGCACTGTATTTTACCCTGTAACGTTCTACGACACCCTAAAACCTGTACATGGGGGGTACTGTTTTACTCGGGAGACTTCGCTGAACACAAATATTAGTGATTCAAAACAGTAAAACATATCACAGCGATGATATTGTCAGTGAAAGTGACTTTTTTTGCATTTTTCACACACAAACAGCACTTTTACTGATGATATAATTGTTGTGATACGTTTTCCAGTTTTTAAACACTAATATTTGTGTTCAGCGATGTCTCCCGAGTAAAACAGTACCCCCCATGTACAGGTTTTATAGCATTTTTGAAAGTTACAAGGTCAAATATATGGGTCAAATATTTTTACATTGAAAATGGCCAGGTTGGTTACGTTGCCTTTGAGAGCGTATGGTAGCCCAGGAATGAGAATTACCCCCATGATGGCATACCATTTGCAAAAGAAGACAACCCAAGGTATTGCAAATGGGGTATGTCCAGTCTTTTTTAGTAACCACTTGGTCACAAACACTGGCCAAAATTAGCGTTCAATTTAGTTTTTTTACTTTTTTCACACACAAACAAATATGAATGCTTACTTTGGCCAGTGTTTTCGACTAAGTGGCTACTAAAAAAGACTGGACATACCCCATATTGAATACCCTGGGTTGTCTACTTTAAAAAAAATATGTACATGTTGGGTGTTATTCAGAGATTTATGACAGATAATAGTGTTACAATGTCACTATTGATACATTTTAAAAATGTATGTTTTGAAACTGCAATATCCTACTTGTACCTATAGCCCTATAACATGCAAAAAAAAGCAAAAAACAACGTAAACACTGGGTATTTTTAAACTCAGGACAACATTTTTTATCTATTTAGCAGTTTTTTTCATTTGCTTTTGTAGATGAGTAAAAGATTTTTCAAGTAAAAGTAAAAAAACATGTATTTTTTTCAATTTTTCATCATATTTTTTTATTTTTTTTAAATTAAAATACATGAGATTATATAAATAATGGTATGTAAAGAAAGCCCCTTTTGTCCTGAAAAAAACAATATATAATTTGTATGGGAACAGTAAATAAGAAAGCGAAAAATTACAGCCAAACACAAACACCACAAAAGTGTAAAAATATGCCTGGTCACAAATGTACAACATCGCAAAAACAGTCCAGTCCTTAAGGGGTTAAAGGACATTCTGGTACATACAGACCCGATTAAAAGCTACAGTCAAGAAGCAGCAATTCAGCACCGTGGTAGTGTCCGTTGTTCAGGGTGCGTTGCACGTAGCCACATGACCCCATCGAGAACTTTTCTAAATCCGCACAATAATAAAGTGTTTAAAATACAACACACAATTACGTGTAAAACACCATTTGTGGTGTACAAATTAACATGTCCATGTGGGTTATCATATATCGGTAAAACTGAAACCCCATTATTTGAGAGGATACGTGGACATAGGTCGGCTATACGTGTGGCATATCGAGATGGACACTCAGACCAACCTGTGGCTCAACATTTTTTGAATATGAAACATCCACTCTCTTCTTTAAAATTTATTGCAATAGACAACATTCCTATACCCAGGCGAGGGGGAGACCGTGGTAAACTTCTTCTTAATAGAGAGACACAGTGGATTTTCCAGTTAAATACGATTGCACCCAAAGGACTTAATGAGATGATTTCTTATCACTCATTTCTCTAAAAATTTGAACCCCTTTGCAATAAGAATTATGTTTTTAATGGTTTTTAGACATATATTTTTGGTTCATTAATAACATTGTTTTTATGTAGATCAGTAGATGGTTATTGTAAATATTGTACCAATACTATGATGCACGTGTTTCACTTTAATATTCACAGTATAATTTTTTCAGCACTTTAAATTTGGAATTATAGCACTTATAATGGTAATATCACTTTTATATAACATGTCTTATAATCATAGCACTTTACTAACTAGGAGCCACTAGCTCCAATATATATCTATCATTTAATAAATCACAAGCACTTTAAAACAATTTATTAAGCACTTTAATAAAAAAGCACATTTGGCCCACTTTAAGACCTTTTTGACTAGAAGAAACTTGAATTTCACTTGATACAACAAAAATTTCCATCCCCTGCTATACACTATTATGAAAGCAGGGTAGCTACTTTCTACATTGTTAAATATTCAAACATCCATTTATTTATATGTACTATTTTATATATATATATATATATATATATATATATATGTACTATTTAATTTTAATTTCCAGCTCCTTCCCTCCCCTTCCCCATTTCTTCCTTGATTCAAGCACTTTTCTAGTTGAGGATATAGAGATAATGTCCTCACTAGGGGTTATAGGTTGCTATAACAACTGGGTATACACTTGTTTCACTTGCATGTTACTTCCTGCTTCCAGCACCATGTGATTTTTGTTGCCGCGGTACCACACGTCGTCATCACGGCATGTGGGGGTGTGGCTTCATCCATGCATGCGCACGGGATAATGGGGACGCCAGGGGCACCACTCCCACTATTCTCAGCACCAGGGATAAGTCATTTTTCACTAATTTTACTGATGTTTACTTCATATAAATGCACTGTTTTCATTACATTATCTATGCCTGATCCTGATGAAAGTCCCTGCTGGGACTGAAACGTTGATCTGATTTTTAATGGATTATTAATAAACTGTAAGTTTTAACTTTTACAAGTCCGAGAGTGCTGATCACTGCATATATATATATATATATATATATATAGTCAGGGAAATAGGCAGAGTAAGCATTGACCATAATATATACTAAATTCGGTTGTGTGCCAAAACCAATGTTCGGGCAGACCTGTAAATAAAGAGGACCCACTAAGGTAGAATTGTGAATATGGGGAGTGGTGGGTGGGTTGACCAATTGATGTCGGCCCAGTATAGAGGTAAGTTTATGTTTATATAAGCCGGATCATCCCCTCTCAGAACTCCCGGCTCCGCCTTCCCATTTGTGGTCAGGGAAATAGGCCAAGAAAGCATTGACCTTAATATATACTAAATTCGGTTGTGGGGTGCCGAAAACCGATGTTCGGGCAGGCCTGTAAATAAAGAGGGCAAAAAGGTGTAAGCAAAGCAAATTTAATACGTATTTAATTGTTTAACATGACCCGTGCAGATATGTGGCTGCTTGACTGAGTTCTTTTTCTCACTGGGGTATATGTTATTTTAATGCTGAAGACTTCCATTGTCCTAGTCTTTCTTTTGATGATGTGTACTGGAATATTTTGACTAGACGCCACTGTTGCTGCACCAATATATATTTGAAAAAGACCCATCAGGGTCGAAACGTCAATTTCCTTGTTGAATTTCATTTTTCTACATTAAATGAAAAATCTATCACTTCAAGACCTGTGAGTGCATCCTGGATTACTATTATATATAAATGTATATTTTGAGCTAAATAAAAGTTATATTTTACATGTGTAATAAGTCCTGGGAGTAGTATCTACATACTCGTTCTAAGCATTTCATTCTAGTGAATAATCCCCTAATATTTAACCTAGCAAAAAATGCACCGCACATTTACTTGATATGATTTATTGGATAACACAGGAAACTTCTGTTCCCACTAGAGAAACACTTGTTGTGGGCCCAACTTTAATGCCAGTACCTAAGAACTTTGCCTCCACACCATCCACACCAATTGCTGCTCCAGTATCTACACCAAGGCCAACTTTGACACCAACAGGACCAGCTGAGGCAGAAGCACTTGCTAGCTCGGCTTTGGCCATGGCCCTTACTCCAGTTAAACCGGCTTCTGCTCCAGCTGAGGCATTGGGACCTCTTGCTTCAGCTTCAAGGACGCCGACCTCAGCCTGTGCCTTTCCAATACCAGTTTCAGCATATGCTCCAATCTTCAGAATCCTCTCGCCGGTTTTACTAGTAAAGGAATTCCTGTAGGCTTTACTGCCAGAAAAATTTTTCTCTGTAGAAGTTTTGCGCTTTCGATCAATTGTGTCAATCATATTAATGAAACCAGAAGGAGTTACAGATGCAGAAAATGGTTTTATTTTTGGCCTCGTGGTAACCTCGTATTTTTTTAGACCATGTACTGGATTCTTTGCAAAGGATCTAATTCTACGAGGTACATCAGATAACATGTGACCAGATACTGACATCTTGATCTCGCAACGTCCATTATATTGTTTCTTCCACATGTACTTCTTTGCAGAATGCTCACTGTCATTTTCATGTTTCGTCCGCATCTTCACTAAATTCTCTTTTCAAACTCAGACACTGCTATTTAAATAAGTACATTTCACTTAATACACAGATTCTTAAACCGGCACTGCTACTACCCTCCCCTAAAAAAAATAAAATAATTTTTACAAAATACTAATATGGACCATAATGGAATTTCACTGAAATTCGAACCCAGTATAGAGATACAATGAGACAAAGTAGGGACTATTGGTGTCAGGCAGGTAAATCTCACCTTTTCCTGCCCCCTCCTGTTACCAGATCCCCAGCGACAAAGTCAACGCCAGGGGTCTTTACAAATTCTTAAAAGTCCCCAGATGCTGACAGTGTCACTTTAATACACAGAAAAGATTTAACACTATATATCATTAATCGTATAGACAACAAGGATTAAAATACAGCCACCATGAAAGATATCATATCCATTTTATAGACATGATGCTTGTAACGGATCGACGGCACACCGACTGGGTACCTCAGTTGAAGGATGCTCCTAGCGCTTACAGAGGGCTCCAAGCGCTCCGCAGACACCACAACCACCGCAGACCCCACTAACCACCGCAGCTTGGTTGGGGTCTCGCTGTCTCCTACCCACCCTGGACCTACAACAATGCTCCAGGTTCCAGTGGGTGAACCTCACCTCCAAGAGAGTGAAGCAGGAACAAGCTCTTAAAAGAGCTTAGTAGTGATTAGCTAAGGGAGTATGCAGAGCATAGCAACCCCTTGTAGTGATATAGCAATTCCCCCAATAAGAGACAGGACTCTAGATTGAGGGTAAAGAAGAACTGTCTGTACTGGCACATACAGCCTCTTTTATTCACAATCTACAAACATAGTACTGCCCACAGGGTTTTGAAGAACAACCAATCAACACATTACAACACAGCTAACACTCCCATTCATTACATCAGAAATCCTCCCCTCTGCCTGTGATACAATTATCTCAACATAATAGACTAACTTAATTATCACAGGCAGGAAAATACAGTATTATAAAACATATCACAGGGACCCCAAAACATGCAATAACCCCATAAAAAATCCTCGAACCCGGGGGATCTGGGTGAACCACATATCCAAAATTCACCCAGATCCGTTCAGTAGTTTGGAAGATACGGTTTAATGCAGATTCCGCAGAACATATACAAGCTATATGAAAAAGAATTACTGTTAAATGTGTCCCCTGTTCTGTAGTTTAAAACTACTGAATGATGTCTTTGTGCACTAAATACCGGCGAGATGGCACCGTGTAGAAAAGTCAAAACCGCGTCTGTGAGTTAAAATGGCCGTCATCCATTGTTCTCACCATGTGCTTCATTCATTGTTCTCACCATGTGCCTCTGAAACATGAAATGATGGCCACCCAGTAACTCCACAGTATGTACCCAGATGGTTCTTAAAGGGCCAGCAGGAGCATAATAAAATACAATATGCCCAAATCAGTTCCTTAAAGGGCAATACATCCCAGGGCCATAGTCGCAGGGCAGGAGGCTGGCAAACAGGCCCCTCCAAAAACCAGTGGCGAGGTCACTTTCGCCACAATGCTTTTAAACTTGGTTGCAAACATCTATTAAAACATCAGTTTTTTCTCTATATATTGCAGCAGTGAAATGGAAATTAATTAAAGGGACACTCTAAGCACCAAAACAACTTTAGCTTAATGGTGTGAATTTAATGTATAGATCATGCCCATGCAGTATCACTGCTAAATTCTCTGCCATTTAGAAGTCATCACTTTATTCATGCAGCACTAGTCACACCTCCCCTGGCTGAAGCTCACATAGCCTCCCGACACACTTCCTAAAAAAAATAAAAACGCTATACATCTTTAATGTCCCCTTATTGCACAATGCATTTTTTTTTTTTTTATCTCCTGCTCTGTTAGTTGCTAGGTAGAGCCTGAAGTAACCTTCTGTGTATGATTAAAGTACACATAATAGAGCAGGAGATAAGAGCTTTTTTTGTGTGAAAACACACTGTAGGACCTATAAGACAGAAACAAAAGTGATTTAAAGCAGTGGTGGAATAAACATTTTTAGTAACCAGTTGCGACTTTTCATATGTTTTCAACTCCACAGGCTCGGCCCCAAACATTGTGCTGCCTGGGACCAAGACTCCATATCCCCACCACCCCCCAGTCATGCACGCACAAACACATCGACGCTGTCTCACATATAGACCTTGGGGGACAAAAACACCCTGGGGGGCAAGGGAATGCTATGAATGCAGTAAATGCATAAGCCTTGTATATCATGCCAATGAGAAGTAAAGATAAAAATGAGGTATAACATGCCAATGAGCAATACATACATAAACTTGATATATCATGCCTATGAGCAGTAAATGCGGAAACTTAGTATATCATGTCAATTAACATTAAATGCATAAACTTTGTATATCATGCCAATGAAGCTATAAATACATAAACTAGATATATCATGCCAATGAGCAGTAAATGCAGAATATCATGCTAACGAGCAGTAAATTCTTAAACTTTGTATAACATGCCAATGGCCACACGTGCCCCCAAACAACCTGCCAGTGCCATCTCTGCCACCAGGCCTGTTTGCCAGCCTCCTGCCCTGTGACTATGGCCTGTGTAAATAGACTTTGTTTAAAAACATTGTTTGTGCCCTTTTGGACTGGTACAGTAACACTTCAAACTCCCGAAGTGGTTCAAAGCAGCACTTTGAACTCCCAAACGGTAGATGTGGTTCGAATCGGCATTCGAACATGTTGCAGCGGCCATCTTAAGCCGCGAGTACAATGAGCTGTGTTTGGTCGTCGAGTTCATGGAACTCAAATCGGACACTCGACGGCACAAACACTGCTGAATATTTACCTTCCATGGATGTTTGGCTATTCGACGGGAGTTGAACGGCGTTTGGTAAGAGTAAACTCCCAAAGGAGAGACATAGACTAAGTGCCATGCGAACTCTCTATGTTCGGTATTTTATATGTTACTTCGAATCCCCGAAGTAGATTGACTGCACAGCCTAATTCTCTAGAACTGTTTTGGGCATGGAACCATGCGTGTGGTCGGTCAAAATGTGACTTCCAGAAAATTCCTGAACTGATTTGAGTGATTTTTGGATATGTTGGTCACCCAAATCAGGGCTATGTAACAATTGTGGGGATTTTATGTGTTTTGGGGTACTTTGGGGACTTTATAGAAATGTGTATTTCTTTCTGCCTGGAGATAATTGGGTTAATACAGTATCTGACTCAATTATTTCCCAGGTAGAGGGGAGGGATTTTATGCCATGTGTGGGAGTGTCGAGCATTGTAAAACTGTTCTTATTGGTCTGTGAATGTTGTAACTTAGTTCCCCACAAGGTCCAAGTGTGGCACCATTAAAATCAGTTCCTGTTTATCCTCAACACAGAGCCTCGTCTTGTGCTTGTAAGGGAAAGCCATACCTGCTATAATCCCTGCTCTTGGAATTGCTCTTTGGAGTGTTATTATCACTAGCTCTTTTAAGAGCTGTTCCAGCTATACTCTCTGGAGTAGGAGAGGTTCACCCACTGGAAACTGGATCCTGGTCTTGGGGCCAGGGTGGTTGTAGGACAGCGAGACCCCGGCAAAGCTGTAACACTGGAAGTGGGGACTATGGTGCTGATGGTGTCTGGTGGAGTGCTGGAAGTCCTCGGTGAGCACTAGGAGCATCAATTGACGGAGGCACCCGGTTGGGGTGCCAGGCGGTCCATCTCATAAGCCAAAGCCACCTAAATGGTGGTTTTAACACTATATAGTCAGAAATACAGGTTTGTGTTCCTGACCCTATAGTGTTCCTTTAATAATAATCCACAGATAAATAATCATGCCTCCTGTTGTGCATACTTAGAACGGGGAATACAAACTCTACAAAAAGAGTAACTATGGCTAGCACAGCAAAAGCCGTTTGAAAGGAATTGTGAAGTCCACAGTATTAGGTCATAAGTAGGAATTGTTACAGATGTATGGAATTTGAAAATTGCAACAAATGCATAGATGCAATCTTTCTGTGGCAAGCACAAAAGAGGAAATAAAATCAAACGTTTCCATTTGGATTGATGTTGGTCTGGAACACAAGAGGAATTTCACTAATTGTTCCTATTGTCCCTGTTCACCCTATAACATCTCTGGCTGGGCCGGCTTGGAAACCTGAGATGAATACAGTAGGTACAAAAATAAATCATGGGCAAATATTTGATGTGCTTGCTAGGGGCCAAGATCTTATTTTGAGTAAATTGCTATCTTTTCTTGTCGGAGACCCCCCCCAGCCAGAAAATACTTCACCATCTAAGGGAGTAGTTAGGTTTTTCTGTTCATTTCTCCTGTTTATTTTTTATTGTTCTTGGTGTAAATAATCTGTTTCTCGTCTGTTTTTTTTTTTTATATATACCCTGACTATTTTGTTTGTTCATAATAAATATTCCTTTATTAAAGGGATCCTATAGTGTGTAGCAGGCTGGCCAGGTCATGAGTCAAACAGAAACAGTTCTTTCTTCCAATATGAGTAAAGCTTTAGTTAGGAAGCCGGACCCAATTTAACCACAGCAAAACATTAAACCAAAAATAAACTCCTACTCCACACTGGAGACTAACTAGCATAGAGTATCCTTTCTATGCTACTGGGCAGCTAAGCTGACCCCAGTATTTTAACAAATAAAAATAAAGGCTTGCAAAATACTTTTCTTCCACACAGTTTCAGCAGTCTCTTTAACTCAGTCTCTCTGTCTCTGCCCCAGCTCTTCACAGGATAGGCTGATTTCCCTCTGCATAGGGTTTATGTAGCTCCCTAATTGATGTACTAGAGTAGGGATAGGCAACATTTGGCACTCCAGATGTTGTGGACTACATCCCCCATAATGCTCTTACACCTAAAATGCTGGTAAAGCATCATGGAAGGTGTAGTCCAAAACATCTGGAGTGCCGAAGGATGCCTATGCCTGTACCAGAGTAACTTGATTTTTATTCAATGCTTTCCTATGGGGAAAATCTGACATTGGGGGTCCGTGAGGAC